AACGACCATCGGCCACCGCCGTCGCCGCTTTTATCCGGCGCATCAAGAGGACCGTGTCGTCGGCGAATGCGGAGCGCGCGGATTATTCTTCGCGTTCCGTTCTACTTTTTTGCATTCCACCGCAAGTGACACGCGTCGTTGTTGATCGCGTGCGCACTTCGCAAATCCCGCGATTTTCCCGCGAAAAAGAAGAAAACGACAAGCAAACGAATTTATTCGCGCGCTAATCTCGCGACGCGAACGACAACCCGACGTCTTCGCTGTACGGGACGAAACTACCGCGGTGCAAAAGAAAAAGAAAAAAAAAAAGAAAACGGAGGAGAAGAAAAAGGAAAAAGGGAAAATAGACGTAGTTGAATTATCGATCGGGTTCGAAAAACGGCTTGTTAGTCGAGTTGAACCACCTCGTAAGAAGCCATCCCCAGGAGTTTCCCGGTGTCAGACGCTTCCTGTGTTCCTTTCTGCCTCTATATATCTATCGATCCTCGGCCTACACCCTCCTCTTTGTGCCACCGACTGTTATTTCTCTCTTTCTTACTCTCTCTCTCTCTCTTTCTCTTTCTACCATCCGCTATCCTCTCTCTCACTCACTCTCTCTCTCTCTCTCTCTTTCTCTCTGCTTCATCGTGCCGTCTCACTTTCTCTCTCGCTCTCCCATCGCCGATGTACGGGGTGGTTCTCGCTCAACTTGCTTCTTACCCTCGTTAACTCCGATTATTGCACGTAAACCGTGCAACGCAATAAAGATCATTGAATCCAGCGCAATTTTGCCGAATTGTATGCGGGTGATAAAACGCGTGTCTTGATAAAAACGACAACGGTCATTGCATCATAGATAACGGAGGAAGGAAATCATGGTTACATTATTACAGTTTCGTTAAACTGGAACAACTCGATTTCACACGAGTGTCAGATGCAAACGCTCGACAGATGCTCGAGATGAGTGGATCACCGTGTATACCGTAACTCTCTGCCTCTCTTTCTCTCTCTCTCTCTCTCTCTCTCTCTCTCTCTCTCTCTCTCTCT